CCACTGACCACCCCACGACACCCATACCCCTACCACCCTACTTAGCAGCCAAGAAACGGACCGGATCGACCCACCCCCCACCTCCATCACACCCGGGCACCCCTCATTGCACCTGCTCCGCCGTCGCCAAACGAACCGGATCGACCCACCCCCCACCTCCATCACAACCGGGCACCCCTCATTGCACCTGCTCCGCTGTCGCCCATGATCCAATCAAACTCTCGAACCTAGCGTGGAGAAATCCGAGTCGCTACGAAATAGACAATCAGTAGTGAAGACTTCAAGTCGGATCCAGCTCATTCCAGACCCTCCCCACTCCACATCACCCTCATCCCCCACACTACACAGCCCCGCTCCCAGCCCAGTTCTCTCTCTCTCTCTCTCTCTCTCTCTCTCTCTCTCTCTCTCTCTTAATCACACAATCACTCCCACCACGGATCTGGCCCACACAAATTACCTCTTACGACTCCCCCCCCCTTGTTTTTCGCCCAACACCCCTCATCCCTCCCCCCAGACAACAGACAGTCGCCCCCACCGCTATTTCGACCCCCTCCCCCCACCATCCAGCCCCCTCTGTAGTACCGCCCTCCCCCCTCACCACACTGACACTAGTTTATCCCGCTCCCAGTCCCCCGCATTCCACCACAAATTCCGCCTGCCGCCCCCCCCCCCACCTGTTCCCCGCTCCAATCTCTCCCTCCTCCGGGACGACCTCTACCACCCTACTGAGCAGCCTCGAATTCGTAGCCTGAAGTTCCCCAACGGTTCAGCACCAAAGGACGACCCTCGATGACCCTGGTAGACCTAAATATTTATTCAATAAAGGCAAATAAATGACCCATTTATTATTATTATTATTATTATTATTATTATTATTACTTTATCAACCTACGAATCAGCTTCGATTTTTTAAGAAGCACCGATTCATCCTATCGACCAGTCTTACACGATCCACGGGAATTTACCCCACAAAGCCATAGCAGCAGTTTACACGTAACCACGACCCATCCTGACACTAAACTGTAGTACTGCCCACGTGTCTAGAGGGATCAAGGAAGCCCGAGCATACCTCTTCGAGGAGACACCTTCTCAGCGTTTCGACTAAGATCAAGCGTAGCAGCTTTCCTGACCAATATAACTACTGATTTGCGACACATCGGACCACATTAAGAAAGAATAAGACTCGGTACAAATGGCAGACACATACCTCATGGCGGCGCGCAGAGCACTGGAAAGGCAGGATAAAGCACAAGCAGAGTCAACACCAGCCACAACTTCCCAGAATTCGATCACCCATTCTCCAGCATCAGCGGAAGGGACCCAAAAGCCCAACACAACACCAAAACCTCTGGGTCAGAGAGCAATCGATTTTTTGATGAGCAAAACGGAAATAAAAGCTGAAATTATCAAGACCAAAGAAATCATCAAAAACACGAAAGGAGAGGAGGAGGAAGTCGAAATTTGGGAATACCCCAAAGAACAACTGCAGTCCCTCAACGAATTATACGAGAAGCACGCAGTTCTTTTCAACTTCACAAACAAGAACAGGGACTTACCGCTGAACGAAAAAAGGAAGTGGGTCATGGACAGACTGAAAGACTTGGAAAGCATCCCTGGAACTGAGCCAGATGTTTCGTATCACAGGAGAGGAAGATACACAATCATGGTTCTGTGCGTAGACCCCACGTATGCCCAGTTTCTCGTCGCACTAGGTTCGCTCAAATGCAAAGGTTTGGTGGTTACGATCCAGTCATGGAAACCGCCCAGGGAACCCCAAGCGGATGCATCCAGGCATCGACAAACAATGCTCAGAAACCACTTCTGGGTTCAGTTTGACAACCTGTCTGAGGGTCTGCACAGTTTCGTGCAAAAAAGGCTCCAGGACGAGTACCCCAACAACCCAATCATCGATTGGCTTCCAGCAAACCCGGAATTCATGGCCCCGAACCATGATGCAAGGGTGGCCTGCCTGGAAGTATCGTCAGGCACATCGCCCAAGTTTCCAGACGTTTGGATTTTCAGGAAAAATGAACAAAGATTAAACGTGTTCATTTCCACGAAAACAAACCCCTTCTGCTTCAAATGCAGAAACAAAGGGCACCTGGGAACGCATTGTCCTCAGGTCGGGAGCACGGGGAGAAAAGTCACACTCAAGCAATCAATGCTGGCTGAGTGCGATACGAAGCCAGGAGTCTGGTACATCAATGATGCCCAGTACAGGGGCTGGATCTTCGACGACAATTTGGAGAACCTCAAATGGATTTGGGTACTTCAGGGGGAACCCAAGTATAAACTGGATATATACCCGCCCTACGACAGCAGATGGCGGGCAGCAGGAGCGAAGCGAATGGAAGACAAAAACACAGGCTTCATAACACAGCAAGTAATTAGTGAAACGAACCTATTGGATGAGAAACAAAGACTGGAAACAATGAACGAACTGCACGCAATCGGCCAAAACGCGAAAAGAGCATACTTGGAGAACCAACGAGCCAGAACGGCCCCAGAGAAAGAACAACACTCTGCTTGTTCAACTCCGAAATCCACGTCCTCAAGCGGGAAGGACAGAGAAAGCATGCAAATTGACAGGTCCCTGAAAAGAAAACCAAAGGACGCGGCGAACGACTCGGAGTCGGGCTTCACAGCGAGAGGAAAGCAAAGATCAGTCGGCCTTGCAAACGCACTGTCGGCTGACAAGAGCACAAAAGACAGCAGACACAGTAGACAGGACAACGGCATCCAGGAAGGAACAACACAAAGGTCAGGAGGATCCAACCCAACAGAAATGGAGGAGGACACCTCCCAAAGCATAGAGAACGACGAAAGCATGGACGACTGACACTCAACCAGCCCTGGCAGCAAACAAAATTCGGACTCAAGCCGGGTCAGGAAGAGAACCAGATCAGAAAACAGCACCAGCCAGGACCCAGACGAAGAAGACACAGAAAAGGATGCAGATGAAGACACAGAGGAAGTGAACTCAGACGAAGAGGATGAGGACATGAGGGAAGAAGAAGATGAACAGGGACAGGATATGAACTCTTGGGACTACGTACAACGGTATGTGCGGTCCTTAGAATTGGACAAAACAGTGGAAGTGGAGGTAAGGCTAGCACACCACAAACACCTGCGCAACCTCAACCTCAGGGCAGCGACCAAAGTAGAGGATACCATAAGCTTAGAGAATAGATACGAGATCCTCAGGAAAGAAAGAGAACTCAACGAATTCTATGCAGCGCAATACAGTATGAAGACAAGAATTGATAAGAACAGGATCACAGTGGACACAAGGAACTACGAACAACATTTCATCTGGCCCAAATCCTACGCTGAACAGCGAGCAGAGAGACGAGCCAAAAAGAACAAGAGAGAAGAACAGCAGGGGTCCACAGATGCCCAAGACCAGGACACAGCCTCCACGACAGCAGATGAAGAGTCGATGGACGAGCTGAGGAGGCAAGCTGCAATTCTGGAAGCACAGGTAAAAGTACTGAGAGACAAGAACAGAGAGTTGGATGAAAACTGTATCACCCTCAAAGATGTAGCAGGAGGTGCACACAAGGAAATAGAAGCAGCAGCTAGATTGGACGCGTGCAACAGTCCCAAACGGCGGACGCTAATCCCGTTTCATTGGAACAGCAGCATTGGGACTTGGGAAATTGCCTACCACAGATCCAACTCGTTGATCTCAGTGCAGGAACAGGAGTGCGCACAAAAAATTCTGCAAGAAACAATCTCAGATAGTGTCCCAACAGAGATGCATATCTTAGGGTCCAAAAAAGAGGCTATGGAAGAATGGAAGGACCAAGAGAATGAAATGCAACTGGCAGATCTGCGACCCTTATTACTTGACTTGGGGGAATCAGCCAGCCTTAAGGGAGACTTGTGCTGGGTCCCATGGAAGGCCGTAGAATCAATGCCTTACGGCTTGTTGGGTGGAGAGCTTGCAGCGGAAAGGGCTGCCATGAGCAGTGCTCTAGTCACTACCTACGCTCTGTTCACACTCTCCCCCAAGCTCCTCGAGCTGAAACTTCGGGGGTCGGTCTCAACGAGGAAGGAGATAGCAAGGCCCGACTCCCAGACATCAGATTACGGACGGCTCATGGAGGTGTGAACTGAACCACAACGATGGGGGACCGGGGAGAGGAAGGAACTAGACCCCGCACACAGAAAATTCAGCCTCCGCAAACAAGAACAGGACCTTAAAATCATATCGTGGAACATCAATGGCATGTCCACTATACTAACTAATCAACAGAAATGGGACAATTTAATGAAGGGTACGGACTGGTCTGGAAGCTCGCCACCTGATCTCCTATGCATCCAAGAAACGCACCTAACAGAATCTGAAGAACATAAAAAAACTCAAGCACAAATAATAAAGAGGCTGAAATGGGTAAAGGAGGCACTTTGGGCCCCTGCCCCTCGCCCCAACTCAGCGGGTGTGGTTATACTAACACACGACAAATCTAGATCTGCAAACACGGTTTCCAAAATTGATTCAGACATAGACACGGACGAAGGAAGATGGGCCCGTTTGGATTTCCAAATCCATGAAGAGAAGTTCAGGTTACTGACGTTCTACGCACCGAATGTGCTGAATCAGAGGTCCAGATTAATAGAAGGTCTACGCCCTAGGTGTGACCCCAACATGCAGCTCATCCTGGTAGGAGACTGGAACGCTGCACTGGACCCAACCATGGACCGCTTTTCAGGTGGATCATCAAGAACATCACAATCTGCGTGGAACAAAGCCCGACCCATCCATGAGCTTATGATAGAAAAAAATCTAATAGACCCATTTAGAGTCTGGCACCCGGACAGCAAGGAAATCACTTACTTAAAAAGGAACAGAAGCTAGCACATCTCTGCATCTCGAATAGACTTCTTCCTAACATCAGAATCACTCATAGGAACAATCTTTAACACAAAAATAGGCGAATTACCCCGTTACTCAGGCCTAGATCACAAACCGATCAGTCTATCACTGAATTTAGGAACCACCCCTAATAGAGGACGTAGCTTTTTCAAAATCAACAACTCACTTCTAAATACAACAGAAATGAGGGAAGCAGTCCTGTCCGCATGTATCAACCATGACCCCACTAACCAAGGCTTCCCAGACTTGGTCGTTGCTCTGTCAGAATCAACAGCAAAGGCATCCAGGGTAATAGCCTCCAAGAGAAAAGCAAGGGAGGAGGAACTGCAACAATCAGCAAGGTTCGCAGAGAAAAATCTCCTAAACGACCTAGGAAACGGTCTATATGAGAAGGTCCTAGAACAAGCCAGGCAAGAAATGGCGGAATGGGATGAATGGAGAAACAAAGGTCTGAGGATGAGAGCCCGAAAAAAAGAGTGGGAAGAAGGGGAGAAAATAACCAAAGTACTTCTTCAGCAAAATCAAGACAAATGCGAGGAACGCTAGCATAGACAAATTGCAAACAGAACAAGGACAGTCTTCCAACCCACAACATATACTAGCAGCAGCAGCAACCTTCTTCCAAAACCTATATACCTCAAAAGAACAGGACTACCCTCAACATGAAACCTCACACGCAAGGGCCAAATTCTTGACACATTTAGACAAAACAATTTCATCAGAACAGGCAGCGACTATGGACAAGCCGATCACCGAACAAGAGGTCCTTGAAGCCCTGAAATCAATGAAACCTAACAAAACACCAGGACTGCATGGACTATCAAAAGAGTTTTGGGTTACATTTTGGCCAGCACTGGGCACAGAATACTTCCAATTCCTGGAAAAAGCATGGAATAGAGGCACACTGGGAGAACGTCTAAGCACAAGAGCGGTATCCCTGCTGTACAAGAAAGGTGACCCAACAGATATCAGAAACTATAGGCCAATCTCCTTGCTCTCAGTAACATACAAAATTCTGGCCAAACTCCTGGCTAATAGAATAAGAACAATAACAAGGAACTGTTCTCACCTTGACCAGACCGGCTTCATCCCAGGAAGGTTCATCCTGGACAATGTAATGACCCTCAACGAATCAGTCAGATACATCCAGGATAAAAGAATGAACGCGGCCATACTGTTCTTTGATTTCGAAAAGGCATGCGACCAAGTCAACTGGAACTTCCTAAGTCAATGCATGGAGAAAATGGGGGTGGGTCCTAACTTCAGAAAATGGGTCCAAGTCCTATACTCAGAAGCCCATGGAAGAGTACAGGTCAACGACCATCTATCACAACCATATCGAATGACCCGTTCAGTAAGACAGGGCGATCCACTGGCGTCCCCAATCTTTCTTTTCATTATGGAGGCCATAGCATCCTTTCTAAGGAAAGACCCTTCGATTGAAAGATTGGTAGAGGACAGACAACATCCAATTAGCCTCCCCACCACCATCCTATTTGCAGATGACCTGACAGTTCTAATATGGGCATCAAATTCCTCCTTTCAAGCACTTACCCGAGCCATGCAAGCCTTCCAAATAGCGTCAGAGATGAAAATTAACTGGCCCAAAACAATCGGATGGTGGCTAACAGACCCGCAAACTGACCCCCCACAAAGCACCCCGGAGGGAATGAGCTGGTCTCGAGGCAATGGACCACTTAGATTCTTAGGGGTCCAAGTCTCCAAGCACGGCACCAACCAACTAATGGCACCAGCTATAATGAATAAGATGATAGCAAAATTAGGCAGCTGGTCCAGTATCTATACCTCAATATTTGGAAGAGCGCTTATCCTCAACGCATCCATTTTCTCAATGATGTGGTACGCAGCCACGATCTGGAGCCCACCCAAGAAACGGAGAACCCAACTAAGAAGAAGAGCAGCAGCCTACCTGTGGTCAGGGGATCCCTCTAAAATCAACTTCATCTCAAAGGTAGCATGGAAATACGTCATCCTGAAGAAATCGCAGGGAGGTCTTGGAATCCTGGACCCGGATACGCAAATCAAAGCACTACAAACGAAGTGGATCATCAAAATGATAACCAATAACAAGCTACCTTGGAATAAATTGGGGTTACGTAGGATACAACAACTAGCCAGATTCAAAACCCCAGTTAACATGAGCGGACTCTTTTGGCTCATGGCCAAATCCTGGACAATGAAAGGCAATACACAGACAAGGGAGCAAGAGGACCTAGAAGAGGAACAAGACCACGATTTTTGGAGACAGCTAATGAAATCTTGGAAGGAAATCCTCCCTGCAAAATGAGAGAACCAACTACCAAGGAAGAAATCCTCAGGCAACCAATCTTTTGCAACCAGTCCTTAGTAGACGCGCAAGGGAAACCCTGGACCTTAACTGCAAAGGACACAAAATGGGGCACATGGGTGGAAAAAGGAGTATGGCAAATCAAGCATCTATGGCAGGATACCAATAAGGGATGGAGAACGGCTGAGGAAATGAGAGAATGTCTGAAGGGTTGTCACAATCTGCAGGAGAACTTAAACAATATTCTGAGCACAGTCCCAAACAACTGGCTTCAGTTGCTGAGAGGGACCATCAAGTGGAACCTAGGCGATTGGGCAACAAGAACGGCAGACAACATCCCCACCACAGCATACCGGTTTCGCACGAGGGAAGGACCAAGGAATTCTTGGCTAATCTGTGACACGTACACAATCGAAGAACCAGGAACGACCACTAGCCTGTTAAGCCGAAATCCTACAGGAGAAATTGCCTTACGAGAGCCTACAATAAGGAAAGTAAGAGTAGTAGAAACAGAGGAGCGGCGCATCTTTGAACCACTCCTAAACATAGAGGACCTGGAAATTGACTCAACAGAATGGGCATGGAAAACGAAATCAGGCAGACTACAGATCGAAAAACGTGCTAACATCCTGGAATACTCCACCAGATTGGGATACTCACTGAGAATGAGATCCTTCCCAGTAGCCCAAATCATTAACCAGAGATGGGAAACCCACCTCAACCGGCCACCAAACCAAACTCTCCTCACCTCCTGGAATAGAATATTGGCCATCACTTCGACTAAAATAAGAAGCTTCCAATGGCTAGTAGCTCACCGATCTCTCCCAGTGAACGAATGGCTGAATAAAAGAAGGAACGGGCAGTCGAGATCCGCCCTACAGGAACTCTGCTCTATCTGTCCAGATGGCTTTACAGAAGATATAGAACACTGTCTTTTACTCTGCCTGAAAGCAAAGCAACTCTGGGCTAAGACATCCCACCTATGGAACTTAATARCTAGCAAGGATCTCCCAACGGATCAARTCACACTCCTACTAGSTCTACACACGCCCAGCACATGGCAAGGTTTCGAGTCCATACTCTTCCACAGCTTGAGACTCGCAACCTTATGGATGATCTGGAAACGCAGGTGCCAAGAAACAATCGACCACGTCCCCATGGCAGCCCAAGAAGCTTGGGAGGGAGTGCTGTACCTAGTGGAAATCGAGTATAGAGGCCGCTGGAAGAAAACTCGCAGAAAGATGGCAAACAACATGATAAACAGAGACAGAGTAGTAGAAGAGTTCGTGAAACACCAGCTAGGAGAAGGAAAGATTGCAATAATAGACCAAGACAGACTGCACTTTGCACAATGGAGGCACAACCACATAGCCCCACCACAAGAATTAGAAACACCCAGAAGTAGGACCCATCTCACAGGTATGTCGTTGAGGTCAGGATAAAGAGACACTTTCAGCCTACAGCCCGAGAAGAGGATAAACCGACAACACCCCCCCCCCCCCATATCCCAGTAAAGTACTCTTGGACATTTAGGATAAAACGCTAATATAGGACGGGTTAATCATGACACCCCACCACTTCCAAGAACCCTGCAACAACCCGACAAGCCCACAGATCATCGCTCCAGAAGTAAACCCCCACAGCCAATAAGACAGTACAGAAGACACGACCCAAGTCCAAATGACCCTGAAACCCATTAACATCAACCGCTAATCACCCAGTATTACAACAGCCAACAACAAGAGCTCACCGTAACCAGCTACCTCCTCACATTCAGAACTCAACCCTGAAACAGCAAAACACATACCCAACAAACCCACCGACGCCCTCCACCCCTCTACAGCACACCCCACCGATACACTCTACCACCCTCACAGGGTTACCCCACGCCTACTTTGCTCCCCATTACCCGTAACACCCT